ACACACACACACACACACACACACACACACACACACACACACACACACCTCCTGCAGTAGGATTTCATTGTGGCTCGTCTCTTCCCCCTCTTAGGGTTTTAGGGTTGTAGTGTTTAGATACTCAACCCCTCCACGAATGAATGCATAATTTAGTTTCTTCGAGGTACTTTTTTTGTGGGCGCGCTCCTTTCTACTAAGTTTTCACTTGTGCCCCGATCTGTCTCTTATGTACAAATGTATTTCTAAATGCTACGTAATACCAAAGTCACATTCAAGATTACATGTTTTCTAACAACTAACAATGAAGGCAAGTGGTGTAATACACAATAGGTGAGCAGTATGAGATTTATCAAGTTGATAGAGGTGTTTAACGGTGGCAATTTAGAAGAATATGAAGGGGAGAAAATGCTCTTATACTTTTTTTTGTCTTGCAAAGATATTTATTTATACCTTAGATGGGCTCCCCTTCACATTGTGCTATAATTGAGAAAGTATGAGGCCCCTCTGGCTATTTGGGTTAAGTATGTGCACTTTTTTGTGATTTAGCTCTCACAAATTCCGCAGTCATAAAGGTCAAAATTAAATTTAACACTGCTTAGTGTTTTATTGTGTTGCCGCATCAACCACAGGATCGATGGCCTCATTGCAAAGGTAGTGTTTCCACAGTCACGGAAGGGTAATTGTTTGAAAAGTAGTACCACTTCTGAACAACATTTTCTTGTATTATCACTGTTTCATATGAGATAAATCCTCAGTGTTTTTAAAAAACTCCCCTAGTTTCCCAGAGTTATAATAAATCAGTTATGCGGAGACTGTTCCAAAGACCTCTGCAGTTCGGCTCAGTAACACTTTACAAACCTATGTTTCCTTCAGCAGGTTTAATGGCACTATTTGTTTACCTACAACCAGTCCTCCTACAGTAGCTGTATCTGCACATCATATTAGCTCTAACCTTTTTAAACAGTTTTTGAAGTAAAAAAAAGTTTAAAAAGCTGGAAGTTTTTATAATTTGAAAAATAAAATGCTCTTTTACATTTGTACAAAGCGAGTCTTATGTACAGTTGGCTTTTATTATCTAAAATCATTGTTCTGTCTCCTACAGATGGCCAGCTGCGACATATAAAAACAGGTGAACCCTTTGTATTTAATGCCAGAGAAGATCTGCACCGCTGGAATCAGAAACGCTATGAAGCTCTTGGAGAGGTAAAGCAACGCTTTTCTTCTGGCTTACCAAGACATTTTACAGCATTTTTTTTAAAGTGTAGCAAACTCTACGTCTTGGTCTTTGGTGCATGTGCAAAGACAATTAAAGACTTTTTTTAAATCGGCCTGCAGGAGCAGATTTTCCAAAGTTCTGGTTGATATATCCTTGTGACGGGACATTACTCATTTTTGCTCAATTCTGTGCAGATGACACTCATCGCACCATGTCAATGTGTTGGATTTTATTTGATTGCACCATTTTGACACTCCCTCGTCTGACATTAGGGGAAGTTTCCCACCACTCAACAAGGATTTGAACCAGAAACAGATATCTTAATTATGAGAAAAGTAAAACACAACATCAGTTGCCCTGAGTTTGTTTTATGGCTGAGAAGCAAATTGCAAAACAAGTGGGCACAAATTAAATAATATTTTCCTGATGTTTTTTTTCTTCTAAAATTCATTGCATCTCTTTTTATACTTGTACCATTTCATCACATAATGTACCGAGACAGACAAAATGTTAACATTCACCTCTAATTCACTCTAACAATTCCACTACTTTTAGAGTGTACCAAGATAATGAGACAACTATTCCTTTGTAATCATTTTTCCCCCTGTTTGCATCCTCTTCTATGTTGCTTTTAATTGTTGTATACATTCTTTGAAGTTCAAAGGAAAGAGATAGACTTTTTTTTTGTGGGATTACCTGGATGTTTTTTAGTATTTCTAATGCAGGTATACAGAAGCTCCTTTGAGAACCATCCCTCTCTGAAGGCTTCTTCCCCCTTCTGTTCTTTTGCCTGCCAAGGCTCTATCTGCCACCATCAAAAAAAGAAAGAAAAGAAAGAGAAACAAACATTTAATAGCAGGAAAGCTGAGGACCTGAAAGAACACACAGACACTTACACTCACTGAACTAAGGCTTCTGAGCAGGGCAAACGTTTGCGAGAAACAAATAATCATCAAGCGAATTGTATGCAAATTTTATTCATCCTGTGATTAAAAAATTGACAGAAGTATTTTCTTTAGAGACAGAGAAAGGAATTGGTGTCAATCCCTGTTGATACAACTTGTGTAATGAGAACAAATATTGTGTGAGTTGTGCTTTAGGAGATTAAGTAGCTGCGAAGAAAGGAGCACCATCTGAATAAGCAATATTCTGCCTGTTGTTTTCCAGCCACACATGATTTAAGAAAATGAAAACTGTACCTCTCACATAATTTTACAAGTTGAAAAAGTATTTTGTTTTTAATATAAATAACACAACCCCTGAATTGTATGCTTTTTGATGGTAAAAGTAGGCTGCCTAGTCAGGCTTTGATAAGTAGGGGTTTAAAGATGTCAGTTTTTCTAATATATTTGCAACTGATCAATTCTGTCTTGAAGTCTGTGAGTTCTGTTCAGTCTTGATTCATTGATTTATGTATTTATTTTTTGTTTTGTTTTGTTTCTTTTTGCCAGCTATGCTCAGAGGCTAAATGCTGAACAAGTGTAAATGCAAACAAGTCTGTTATGGGCTAACACTGTAGCTCAGCACATCTTAATGCCCTCTGTCAGCCCTCTAGCTGAGCTGCTCTAAGAGGTCGGTGTAAGATGGCACAAAGCTGTGTGTGCACGTGTTTGCCCCTGACTGTGTGGATAGAATAGCATCATTGTTGCCCCCGAATGTTTGTTCACATTCCTTCCTTCCCTTCCCTAGAAACACACCTAGTCCATCTTTCCTTCGGCCCTTTAACTGGGTCTCAATTCTCACAGTTCCCCCTTTTTTTTTCGGATGGTGGACTCTGTGTGCGCACATTTGTGTGTCTGTTTACGTATGTGATAGAGCAGAGGGGGTGAGTTGGTGGTGGTGGTGATGGTGGTGGGGGATGTATGTATTGTCAGACACATCATAGCACCAGATGTCCAATTCGCACTTCAACCTTGTCTGAATGGAGGGACAGATAGAAAGAGGGTGACGGAAAACGTTGGTGTGATGGTCCGTAAGCAGAAAAGGAGATGTGAACAAAATCTGATTTGAGCAAAAAGTAGTGCAGCTTTTTTTTCTTTAGAAAAAAAAAATAACTTTTGCAACACAATACTGTCAAAAACTTTTAAATCACCTGTAATTTCTTTAAATGTTGCTTCCAATGAGCTAGACTCTTGTAATTTTAAGGAGTGGTATTGATCAGTAGTTCAAGTTTTCGAAAGGTCTTTTAGAGCTTTTCTTTAAACTTTGGCTGTTTTTAACACAATTTTATTCAGTGCCTGGCTCTTTTCAAAGGCATGTATCTTTTTTTAGTTGCCAGAACACTTCATTAAACCAAAAATTACACTTATAAAATAAACTGCATTTTATGTTTATTTTCTTTTATTGTAAATATTGTATAGAAATGATTGAACAAACTTAGAAATTAGCATAGATTGACCCAGAGTCATAAAATATTGCTTATTCCCCAGTGAGGGGCATGTACATAAAGGAGACAGCTAAAAGTGAAATTCCATTCATCATTTATGATAGAGACAAGTAAAACTTCCTAGGAGAAACAAGATAAACAGTGAAAGCTGTAAAAGAAAAGTGATTTTGAACACTTCTTGAACGCAGCATATAATTATGTGCCAGATATCAACAGTCAGGTGTCACATAAATTAGCAAGATACGTCGGAGTCCACGTCTGAATCTGAAGTGATAGACAACATAATTTTGCTGGTTTAGGCTTAAAAAATGTAATTAACATCATATGTCACCATAACACTGATATGAAATTTATTTACTCATATCTTTTACATTTTTTTGTTGTATTGTCTTTTTTACACAACCACCGACTGCAGCTATACAAGAACCTTTAATTCACTAACATTTGGAATTATCATCTGCAAAAAAAATATTTTGCTACAGACAATTTACAATTTTAAAGTAGAAACATGTGGTAAAAACAAGCCACACAGCATTATAATAGTTGAAAGCTGCAGCTCACTTTACATTGTGAATTACTTCATGTTTATTCAAATGTTTCAAATTAAGACTAAACGTTTAACTTTTAAGATCAGTTCACATTTTGTCATTTTTCAGCACCACATCTCCAACAGAGAGGAAGACGAGCCTCGTTTTATTAGACACATCTAGATAATTAAAGGCATTTTCAGTAAGTCTGAAAATCACAATAATGAGCTGCGGACATTAGCATTAACCTTAATTGGCCTTCTGGTCAGCTCAGGCAGCAATGCATTATGGTCCATTTCCATCAATATAATATACAACTTCTCTACACTACTTTTACTGAACTGCTTGAGTAGTCAGTGTATGCTGCAGATTCACTCTAAAAATCATTTGTGTTCTCGTTCTTTTTAATTTGTCATTTTATTTGTATTGTAAATTGTTCCGTTGGTTTGATTTATTATTTGTTTATTTTTGTATTCTTTTCTTTTCTTTTTTTTTTTTTTTGCATTCAAACACAGACCAAGGAATGAAATAACTCACCAATGTCTGCAGTGGTGACCTTTTCCATCCTTTGCCCTGTTATCATAATGGCTGTATTACAGCTGTAAAACAGTGCAGGCTGTCTGTGGAGCGTTGCTCAGAGCAGCAGGGTCACCTCAGTCTGTGTAGGTGTCAGTTGGAGTCTAATTCCTGTGATTCAGTGATAAATTTCTCTGATAGAAGACAAGCATAGGGTCTGGCCCAGATGGAGCTCTATTAAGCTGTTAATAAATGAGGATTCTTCTCTGCTCTGTCTGCATCTGTCGAATGGAAGGCGGTCACAAATTTGTAAACACACACGCACACACATAAAGACAGAATATTATAATGAGGTAAAGCAAGCCAGATGGCTGAATTAGAAATCTCTCTCTCTTTCTCTCTCTCTCTCTCTCTCTCTCTCTCTCTCTCTCTCTCTCTCTCTCTCTCTCTCTCTCTCTCTCTCTCTCT